GAATGCCTCCAGCACCTTGTTGAATCTATGCCACGAAGAATTGAGGCAGTTCTGAAGGCAAAAGGGGGTCCAACCCATTACTAGCGTGGTGTACCTAATAAAGTGGCCGGTGAGTGTATCTATATACACATATATATACACACACACACACACACACAGTATATATAAAATTTTGATTATTCAAGACAAATGCCAAGTTTTAATTATAATGTGCAGACAGCATTTACTAATTAAAAAAAATGTCTATTTGAGTAAATTGACTGAATTAATGCGTGAAAATGTCCTSAATCTGTTAAATACAATTAAACAGACAAATCACAGAAAGACAACAAAACATTGGTAAAATGTTTATTCTACTTTGGCTTTAACGAAAGTATTTTTACATGTAAACATGTTTAAAAACAATATTTACATTTTAACAACACTTGAACAGATTACCATGTACAAAAACAGTGTAGTCCTCTGATTCTGGTTTTATACCACATCAGTTACGCAATGGATGACACAAAACATTTCAAAAGAACACATTGTCAATTTACACAATTATACCTGCAGAAACATTTAGTACCATCAGTAGTTTTTTTTCCTTCTTTGTATTAGTGAAATACTGTTTTATCACTTTGCATCGTCAGTTTGTTCATTGAATAAACAAATAGTTAAACTAACAAGTGTTATTGAATAAAACTTTGTAGACAAAAATGGGATAAAGACTATACATTTGGACAGAAATTTAAGATATAACATTTTATAATGCTTTACAGTGATGTCCATTTGCTAAAAGTAACCTAACAATGAGAACAGTTGGAGATACACAGCCTGTGCTGTAAAATGTAACGTTCACCAAAGAAAGGCACAATAAAATATTCTTCTTTTTACAGATAATTGCTAAGTGACAAAATTATACACATATAGAAAGTGAGTACACTAAAGTGACAATCAAAAGGCTACAGATTATTATTTTTTTAGCCTTGCTTTTTCACCTTTCTGTTTAGTTTGCACCTTTCTTGTTCAAGACTTACAGTAAAAAGGCTGCCAGAGCAACAGCTGGTAGATCTGGGTTATATATAGGTTTTAGTAAAAAAACAAAATAAAATTCCTTCCAACAGATAAGTTGAAAACAACTGAGCCGATATCAAAACAAAACTGGGTAACGAGAACCTTGGATGCACAATTCAAATACGCCTCGATGCAACGAAGAGAAGTTCCTGTAGGTTGGAAGTGACCACAAAATAAAATAAAAATACATATTCTTCTTCGAGGGTGCATCAGGCTGCTAGAGCTCACTGGACCTTACCAGAGGGAAGCGGATGCTTAATATGAGTGGACTGAGTGTTAGCAGCAGCCCGACTTGCTCTCAGCAGCTACAGTCTCCTGGTCCAGTTTGATCCGGTCTCCGTTGCTCTCCTCGTACGGCAAACCTTTGTCGTTGGCCAAGATATTTTCCACCAGGAAACGGGCCGCCTCGTCCACGTTGATGTTGTCCTGAAGAAACAACCAAACATTTCTATCAGACAAGTGATAAGATGCTCATAAATAGAGGAAAAAATACGCATTAAGTAAAGAGCTATCTACAGCAAATAAGATACTGTTTTTATGCATTTTAGAGCGGTGGTTCCCAAACTTTTTGTCTTCTGACCCACAAAATATTCATGGCAAAAACTTGTGACCCCAAATATTACTGGTCTGAGTACATGAACTTCGTTAATAACCCTAAAAACACAGGCTTTTTGACAATCTAAACAGCTTATACACAAATAAATACTTATTTTTACTTATTTTGTGTTTTTGTAATAATTACAGGGAAAATATTACATCAGCAATTATTTTATTACCCTTTAAACTGATTTCTGGAGATTATCCAAGGTGCTTCATGACCCATAATTGGGTCCCAAGCCCAACTTTGGGAACCAAAGTGCACTGGTTCCCAAACTTTTCAGCTTTTGACCCACAAAATAACAGTAGCAGAGACCTGTGCCCACAACTATTTTTGGATGATAAACATTTGTATCAGGTCAACAAAACACGGGCATAGTAACAATATTTATTATACTACATTTATCCATTTTAAATATACTAACCTCACTCAATTGTAACAACTAAGGCAAAAATGTAATTAATTCAGAAAATCTTTTCAGGACTCCACATTGATGWTTCGGGACCCCACTTTGGGTCCCGACCCCAACTTTGGGAAACACTGTTTTAGAGAACCCCACCTTAAAAGATGGAAGATGTTTTTGTAATTGTTTTATAATGAATTGTAAAGAGCACTGCACTGCTTCGTTTCTAATGGTTTTCTTTGTTGTTTAAGAACAAGTCAATGATTGATTGTTTTCTTTGTTATTCAAGAAAATGTGAGTTAATCATTCTTGCTCTTGATTACATCGTCACAAAGTATTATTAGGACACACAATGGAAACAAAAACAGACGTTTCCCAATGTCCAAATCATGATTCTCTGCCTCGTGCTCCATGAATTTTTACAAAAAGTCATCAAGACCGCAGCCGTCTGTCTTTTTTTTTTTTTTTAATGGCCACAGGAACACAATGTGCTTTGTAATCATGACGACTCGCATCATAACCAGCAGTCACACGAACACTTTACTGCAGTCATCTCACACACACTCACACACTTCACATGACATAGCTCTAGGACTCAACTTTTCCAAAGACCTATAATAATGTGCACTCATTTCAGACAAATCAAAGCATTCCTTGACACGGGAGTGAGTTTAAAACGTATAACCACATCTGTGCGGGGGCTTTGAAACTTATCTACTGAGCTTTTCTTACAAAAAGACTTTAAACCTGTAATGATGTAATGAGAAAAAGTGGAGATAAAAAGTATGAATGAGAACACTTCATGTTTCATTACAACTCTATATCAAATAAATATGATAGAAAATGTGGAAATAAAAACCCAGAATGCAATGATTTGTAAATCTCATAACTCCATATTTCATTCACAATGAAACATAGTAAACTTAGCAATGCTTAAAAAAATTAATTTTACAATTTTTAAGAAAATAATGGGAAGTTGGAAGCACCACCTCTAAAACAGGAAAGTATGGAGGCGACAACAGGCTGTAAAAGCAGTTTCAATAAAAAACAGCTGTAGGGTTTTCTTGAAACTAATTAGGTTAATCAGCAATAGGCCAGTAAGAGACATGGATACAAAAAGAGCAGTTTATGTCTTGCACCTATTAGATATTTCAGCTGAATTTAAGTATTAATGCCAACTCCATTGACCAGATAGATTTCAGACATTTTGGATTACTTCTCTTGTAAATTCCTTCTTTATTCTGCACATCACAGGGAATCCCAACAATAAGGTTCAAWGATGCTTTCATTTAGACGAGACTTAATTTCTCATTGGTTAAAAATTAATCAGGTGCCTTGTGGGAAACTCCCAGCTACAAGTTGTTTACCTTTAAGAAAAAGATTTTTGTCTGACTGGTTTGAGTGCTGYGTAGTTTGCTGCGTTCTGCACTGTTCTTCCAAACAACATCTGGGTCTCATCTAAAGGGATCGCCGGCTTGTTGGTTATGTAACCGATGAAGCCTCTTCAGCCTGGATTACTCAGTTTTACTGAGCAGCCAGATGTAAAAACTCTGTTTCTGGTTAGAAATGTTAAAAAATTATGCAATTTTCGTCAGGCATCTACGTCGGGTAGACACGACGTGTCACTTCTCCTAGACCATTAACCAGACTTGGTTTATGGTCTAGGACAGTGGTTACCAAACTTTTTGTCTTCTGACCCACAAAATATCCATGGCAAAAACTTGTGACCCCAAATATGAC